AGTGACTTTCATCCTAGTAACTTGTTACTAGATAAATGACCAGATGTGGCCAGTGACACATATAGTAATTTTCCCAGTAACAAGCAACTCGGATGAAAGTCACTAAAGGGACGTTCAGGATATCCTGCCCGTATGCACATCACCATTATTTCGTGCTTCGTACAAGCTACGACAGTCCGCTGCTCGCTGCTGCCTGCTCATCGTGATTCGCGTGTGGCGCTGCAAGCCGTTCGGACGTGTTCTTTTATGCGCTCCCGGGCATTGTTAGTTTTACGCCTTTTTGTCAAGTACTACGTGTAGTGCGATGTTTGAGCATAGCCCAGTAATTTCCTATTTCCACACGCGAAGTCTTTAACCACTGCGTCGAATTGTTTTGGGCATTCCGGTATGTCTGAGGCTTCGGCCTCGTGCTCGGGGGACCGGGGGGGAGGGCCGAGAGGTCCGCCATGCTCGGCCCCTGGCCCCGGCCAGCTTCCCTTCTCGACGATTCAGCCACTTTCAGTTCCGCTAGAACATTTTAGTTCATTCGAGGGAAATCTGGCCGTATCTCAAATTCTTTCCCCTTCGGTATTATCCCCTCACTCTCCCTCTTCTCAGCTTTTTGATGCCTCTTCTCCTATTCCCCCTTCCCTCCCCCCCTCTGTGAAGGCAAACGAGGTATTCGTTATAGTTCCGGATAAAGTCAACTCTTTACACAGGTCAAGTACGAGCCCCATCGCCCAATGGCAAATCATAATGCGGATGAAGATATGATCTGCTTGAATGAAGAACTCTCGACCTCGTGTGAGCGAGGGACCACGATCCTGCCCGGTGGAAAAAAAGGCAACAAACGTTCCTTTAGTGACACGGAGGCCTTACCTCCCCCATCAAAAGCTCTGTTCTTTCGTTCTGCCGACGCAAGTGGCAACGACGTAGGCCGATTAAAGGAGAGCTGCAACGATAATCCAGGTAAAACTAAATCTCGTAGAGTGGAGGAAAAGGCAAACGCGTATGTAACATCAGACCTTTCTCCATACATTGTTCATGTTCACTCTTTATGCAATAATAGAAACAACATGCCCCACCCGATTAAAATATCTTCGAACTTGGGTAAGGTTATGAACTCTTCGGATACAATAGAGATGAAACGCCTTGGCACAGGCAAAATCTTAGTAGAGTGCAAAACGGCTACGGCTGCGAATAAGCTAGCTTCGAATCCGGACTTGGCAAATTTTAATCTCAAAGCTATCATCCATAATTACAGGGTATTAAGAACAGGTATTATCAGAGACATCCCTCAAGAGTTTGATGTAGCGGAAATTAAAACTTCTTTACCTACAAATCAGAACCACAAGATTATCAGTGTGCATCGCTTGAATAGAAAATCCACTGTTAATGGCATAACTCAGTACGTGCCCTCTCGCACCATCTGCGTTAAATTTGCGAGGCAATCGCTCCCTTCTCACGCTTTTCTTTTTTGGTCCAGACATGTGGTATATCCGTATATACCAAAAGCCAGAGTTTGCTACTCGTGTTATAGAAATGGCCATGTCAGTGCGGCATGCCGCAACCAGCCTCGATGCATCTTCTGTGGCAACGCTCCACACGGCAATGAGGGCACATGCCCGCTCAAGGACAATACCCCGTGTTGCATTAACTGCTCTGGTGAGCACCTTCCAGTGGACCCCAGATGCCCGCTCTTAGAAAAGCAGAAGAAAATTCTCACCCTTTCAGCGGCTCAGAATATCCCGCTTATAGAGGCCAAAAAGAGGCTTAGCTCTCCCTCCTCCCCCGCTATTAGTACAGACTCCTTTTCCATACCGGTCGGTACAAACTCTGATAACTTCTTTATATTTCCCACTTTTAATAGATTTGACGCTTTTAACAGGAGCAACTTGGGGGACTGTGATTCATCGAATTCGCAAGGCACGTATGCCCAGGTGGCTGCAAGAACAAATGCTCCGCAGAGACAGCGCAATTCACAACATTATCGTGATCCCAGCGTTCGCAAGTCCGCACCTCTTACCTCTTCCAACGGAATTCAGGCTCAGAATCAGGGAGTCGACCGAGAGTTCTTGTCTGCGCCTAATGGGCATTTACCCTCCTTCTCAGGCAACGGAGTTTACTTTCAACAAAATCTCCCTTACATGACGGCGTCTGGTGCTGGTGGGGCGGGTGTCCCCCCTGATCTCTCTTTTACTCGGAAACTCCAGCGGTGAGCTTGGTGGCCCCGCCGGATTTGAAGCTCTTCTGGATCTGCTTGGCTCGTGCGGCGTGTTAGGTAATTCTAATCTATCGCAACTTATTAACAAAATCATAGCTTTCATTAAGTTAGCAGCGCCTCTCTTGAATCAAATTTTCAGCTTGTTAACTCCCCTAGCTCTGCATCCCCGCAACAGACGGTTTTTCCGCAGCAACCTTCGCAGGCCTCCCATCCAGTGGATGGGGCGAGCGGCTTTTACCAATATTAAAGTACCTTTGTCTTCTTCCTTCGATTCCCCCCTTGCCCCTCTCCCCTCCTCCCACCCCTACATCCCCTTTTCACGTCTCACCCCCTTTCTCTCCCTCTTACCCTTCTCGTTGCATGCCCCCCCTTTCTCCTTTTTCCCCCCTTTCTCTCCCTTCCCCTCCACTCCTCAATTTTCTCGATACCCTCGTAGACGAGCTTCTAGAGATGGCAAGATTAAGGTCTTGTCTTGGAATTGCAGGGGATTGCGGGGGAAAATACCGGACATTCAGCGCTTTGCTGACTCGTATGACGTCATCTGGATTCAAGAATCTTTGCTTAACCCCCTTTCTAAAATCTCTCTTAAGAATTTCTGATTTTTCAGGAAGGATAGATTGTCAGTCGGGGAGTGCGGCATATGCATATTGGTCGGCTGCGATCTCTCCTTCGAGTCTATTGATGTCTCGTCTGTTCTTCACGACTCAATAGAGGTTCAGGGTATTAAAATCAGGAGTGCGTGCCGTGAGTTAATTATCGTAAATGTTTATAGACATCCGAACAAACATACGCCTATCGCTGTGTTATCTGCGCTCTTCGAGCTCGCAAATACGTATAACAATATCTTGTTTGTAGGTGATTTTAATGCACATCACAGCTCGTGGGGCTGTGGTAAGACGGATGTTGTGGGCAGGAATCTGCTGGACACTCTTGACAGACTGAATCTGGTTATTACCAATAATAGATCTCCCACTCTCCTTACGCCTCCTGGATCCGCTGTCTGGATCATCGATCTGGCTATTGCCTCCGCTTATTTTGTTCCCTTTTGTACTTTTCTCAGCTTGCCTGACACGGCCGGCAGTGATCATTTTCCCATAGCCATTGGTCTGGGTGTTGACGCTCCTCCCAAAAGAAGGTTTTTATATAAGATTAAGCTAGGCAAATCTCAAAAAGCTGATCTTTTCGCTCGATTATCTAAAGAATCACATCTTCTAGAGTGCTTAGAGGAGGACGATGAGGCGGCTACTAGCTACTCTCGTTTTATTGATTTGATCAAAAGTCATGTATCTTCCGTTCTTCCGGATAGAGACATCTCTCCTCGCACGAAACTTGTTAAAAAATTCAAAGCCTCTCCAGTATGGTGGGACGAAGATTGCCAAAGGGCTATTGAAAGCAGAGCAAAGGCGATGCACATTTTCAAGCAATTCTCATCGATTAATAATTTAATTGCATATAAGAAAGCCTGTGCTTCGTGCATTAAAATTATTAGCAAAGCCAAGAGGGATAAATGGAGGGATCTTTGTAGCTCCTTTGACGGTAAAACTCCTACCGCCAAACTTTGGAACTTTATTAAATCATTTAGGAATAGGAATCTTGTTCTTACTAATGACGTATCATGCCCTGCTCAGGTCATTGATCAGGCTATCTTTAATTTGTGCCCAGACTCTTGCTTGGATGGGAACCTGCCATCCCTTTCACAAATGAAGTTACAGGATGCAAATTCTCCTAATGTAATTATCTCTCTTAACGAAGATTTATCTAGGATGGAGTTAGACTTGGCTTTGAGCTCCTCTAGGGTCAGTTCTGCTCCGGGATTGGATCAGATTGATTATGATCTTCTCAATATTCTCACGGAAGAATATCGCGTCAAGCTTCTTGACATCTTCAATAATATCTTTAAAACCGGCTCATCCCCTGAAGTCTGGAAATCTGCCTTAGTAATCTTTATCCCCAAGAGCGATGGTAAGGGCCTCAGGCCCATTTCCCTTCTTTCTTGTGTATTCAAATTAATGGAAAAGATCATCTATTATCGACTGCGCTGGGCCAGACCTATCTTGCCCGACTTTCAATTTGGTTTTAGATCGTCTAAATCTTGCGCAGATTATTTGTGTACTCTTACTAACTATATACCAGGTGTACAAGTATGAAATGCGGATTTTAAAAGAAAAAAAAACACGTTAAATTCGGTAGAATGATAAAAAGTGCTTTATTCAAAGTATGTTCCATCGCTTTTTATACATTTTTCCCATCTTTCGGGCAATTTGTGAATACCACGCCAGTAGAAATCTTCCTCTTTTGCCGCGAACCATTCATCGAGCCATTTTTTCACATCTTCGTACGAACCAAAGCGCTGCTCAGCAAGTGCGTGACCCATCGATGCAAACAGGTGATAATCAGAAGGAGCCAAGTCTGGTGAGTAAGCCGCATGAGGTAGAACTTCTCAACTGAGTACTTCCAATGTGTCGCGGACCGGTTTTGCCGAATGTGATGGAGCATTGTCATGAAGAAAAATGACTTTGTGTTGCCTCTTTCGGTATTCTGGCCTTTTTTCAAGCAGCGAACGGTTCAAATTGGTTAACTGTTGTTGATAACATGGAGTATTAACCGTTTCTCCAGGTTTCAACAGCTCATAATAGACCACGCCCCTCTGGTCCCACCAAACACAGAGCATCGTCTTTCTGCCAAAGCGATTCGGTTTTGCGGTCAATGTGGATGGTGCTCCCGGGTCTACCCATGATTTCTTACGCTTGGGATTCTCAAAATAAATCCACTTTTCATCCCCTGTTACTATACGATGCAGAAACGATTTCCTTTTGTACCGAGCAAGCAAAATTTCACACGTGTTTTTGCGCTTTTCCATTTGTCTGTCGTTCAACTCATGTGGTACCCATCTACCGGTCTTCTGAATTTTTCCCATCTCTCGTAGGCGATTGGAGACAGCTTGTTGAGTAACTCCCAATTGCAGTGCGAGTTGTTTTTGTGTTTGCGAATCATCTTCGTCCAACAATGCTTGCAATTCCATATTTTCGTATTTTTTTTGGCGGTTTTCCATGTTCCTTGTCTGCAACATCGAAGTTACCACTTTTGAAACGCAGAAACCATCGTTCACACGTATCTTGCGATGGAGCATGTTCATTATAAGCTTCTCGAAGTAATCGATATGATTCAGCAGCAGTTTTCTTCAAATGAAAACAAAAAATTAATACTGTCCGCGAATGCTCTTTATTCGGTATAAATTTCGACATATTGAACATATCAATACAACACGATGCACACACTTTTTCAGTGTATCACTAGTGCGCGTTTGAAATTTGTTTATAACACAACAAAATGGCGCTGTATCAAATCATTATAGCACAAACTGCATTGGTGCACCATCTGTTGTCTGAAATCCGCATTTCATACTTGTACACCTGGTACATGCGGGATTTCTGGAATCTAAGGCCACAGTTGCGGTTTTCCTTGATATTAAGGGCGCCTTCGACAACGTCATTCCGTCAATTCTTTTACAGGATCTTCTGGACATTGGAATTCCGGCTAACATCCGCATGTTCATTATGAATTTCATTAAAGAAAGGAGGCTCTTCGTTGTTGATGATGGTTCTTTACGCGGGCCCTTCCTTGCGCACAAGGGCACCCCTCAAGGCTCCACTCTGAGCCCTCTTCTTTTTAATCTATATTTGAGATTGATAAGTGATCTGATCGCACATGGGGTGCGCATCTTGCAATATGCGGACGATATAGTCATTTTTGCTACGGACAAGGACGTGGGTAACGCCTTTGATGCTTTACAATCTACTTTAAATAATCTGTGGAAATTTCTCTGGTTTAGGGGGCTTGAACTCTCACCTAGTAAATCGGCATGGATGCTTTTTTCCAGATCAAGAACCGACCCTCCCTCCTTGCCTATGAACCTGTAACGTCCGCCGCCAGTACTACATCGCCGAACGTTTTTGCCTAACACGCTAGATGGCGCTACCCACCCTATTTTGCGCTTTTACTGTCATACAATATGACTTATTTCAATACTTTGGTTTTACGCTTTAAAATAATTTTTGTTCAAGGGGAAAAGCAAATAAACCCTTATCTATATCGATATCCAACTTTATAATATAAAACAAATATCTTAATTTTCACGATCATTATATACGCGATCGTAAGACAACTCTAATATTTTACTCTTTTGTTCAGGGTAAATAAACCCTTCTCTTAATATAATAATGATATAAAAATCTATCATATAGTCACATTTAACCACTTATGTTTAAGCGCTTCTTTGTATTCACCTATTTAGCGCTATGAATTTGTTTCATTATTTTAAGACATATACATTCCACTTTCATATAACTAAATTCACCTGCATATAGTATAACTTCTTAGTAAATATATTTGCGTAACATAGTTTAATTGCAAGCGATTCTATTTCTTTTCTCATGTTCATAAAAAGAAGTCTCAACGGATCTATATAACTTTCTACAAGGATTCCGTTAAGATTTCATAATAGAAACAACATATGTACACCACATGGAAAGTCATAAACCCGGCTATTGTTAAGTTACCGGCATGGACTTTCCTTTTGGTCCTTTAGAAAAGTTAACAATCGACAGGAGACAAAAATTCATTTTACATCATACTTTCTAGAACCTTCTAGAAGCTTTACTTATCATACGGCAAGAATTTCGTGCGAGCCGTGTGCCGAAAAGTTTATGTTACACGACACCACTTGACAGTCTCTCGGCGAAAGATAAGCGATTTGCGCTTCCCGTGCGAACCTTTTACTGAGACTAAAATTTAATGCACTGAATTAAAATATATTAATAAGTCGAATTAATATTGGTTAAATTCCCTTTTCTTTAATAAAAAACTATATAATTACGTGTCAAACGATACCCCATAATTTTATATTTCAATACTTGAATTTATAAATCCATTTAAATATTATTTTATTTTAATATAAAAAAGGAATGAATTTCTGGACTCTCAATAATGCGAACTATAGTATTTAGTAATTATGAATAAGAGAGAGGAAAGAATATAAGTATGAGATTGCAATTATTAACAAAAAATCAATTAAGCGTACGGAAAATATATTAACACTACTATTCTTTTAAATAATTCGCAAATTCCAAGTATACTTGAATGACATATTTTTCATAATTATAAAAATGATCTTTTATTATTATAATTCCAAAATCCCTTTGTTAAATTATATTCTCGCATATAAAAGCGAGTAATCTCATAGCGTAACGCTTAATTAACATGCGCAGAAGACGTTCTATTGTCTCGCGGCAGCGGCCGCGCGCCGAGCCGAAATGCAGGTAGGCGACCGAGCGGGCCGCGCAGTTAAAAATCGACTCCCGAATAGTTCGGACATTCTAAAGCAGTTGAAAGAGTCACTCGTGCAGTCCAGACGTCCCCTCGAGAATTCCAAGTTCTACTAAATCATTACTATTTCTTCGCAGAATCGTTCTCGAACACGCTCTGCTCTGTCGAAGCCTGCCATACATTACAATATCATACTATTTCCACCGAACACCATGAAACAACCTTCCTTTCGAGTCGCGGATCAGCTCGCCGGCGTGTCCAGGAGTCGAAAGTGGTTCAGGCGAGGGAAGGGGGGTTCCGGAAATAACGAGACGTGTATTTTTCGAACAAATACTATACGGATTTATTCTCTAAATGTAACTATTTACAAATATATACAAGTCCGCGGTGAGTCGCGCCACGGGTGACGCGGACGGTGAGCGGTGCATCGCAACGTGTGACTCGGGCGGCGGGGGTCGCGGCTGGCGTGTGGCGCGGTGACGCGGCGGCACGCTTTAAGCGCGTGATATGGCGACAAATGCCATGTGGTGGCTGTCGAGCGTTTCTCGGAAGGCTCTCGCGTCACGGGCGGAATTCCTGCGCGTCTAGCGAACGGGAGTTTCGGTCGGCGGTGCTAATTTCCCGAGAAGGTGTTGGTCGGGATTCGAATTGGCGCCCACGACACTGGGCTACGGCTCCGAACACGGGGCCCGAGGTACTGCCGATTCGAATAGGATGGGTTTGGCCGGATCGCTCGCCACGAACCCGTGGCGCAGGCAAAGACTCGTTACACTAGAGCGAGAGCCAAGAGGATGGCGAGAGGATTTCGAGGTAGTCGTCCAGAACTGCTAGACCGAAGCCAAGACTCGTGACTTCTCGACTACTTCTAAGAAGCAGGTTTCGTCTCGTAGCCGGAGCGGTCGGATGGCTCGTAGACGACAGGTCGAACGCTGAGTCTTCATATTATTAAGGTAATCCTAATCACTCTACTTATATTCGTTGTCGAATTCTAGAACGCAAGAAGAATAATTAATTATATGTTTTGAATCTTATAACATTGTAATCCTCATTGATAATTTTGCATCGCTTACTTGATTATTATATAAATATACAAATATTTATATTCCCATATTTCACATAACTTGTATTATTTTATACTTTAATCATTTGAATTATCATAAGTTTCACTAGTAAATTAAAATCTTTATTAACCATATTACAAGCCTCATTCTATATTTTAATCAAATAATACCCATAATTGATTTCAATTACAAGTATGCTTTCATTACTATCATATCAATACTATTGTTCGTCACTACCAAGTGTTGTGTCTCTATAATAATTACTTATGTACTCAACTCGTTGCGTTCATCCCTTACGAAAAAAAACTCTCAACTTTGAGTGTTCAACACTAAAAAAAACACTCAAATTTGGGTGTTAACACTTAAAAAGGACGCTCAAATTTGGGTGTGATTTCGGATCATCAATTGAAGGTTACACTCAATTGAGGGTTAACGCCCTAAAAAAACCATCAAAATAACACCGAAATAAAACCCTGAAATGAAATACACTCAAATA